GCATCGTGGCGTGTAAAACTTTCAAATTATCATCAAAAATAAAGATAAGGGTATGTTCTTGTGCATATTTTCGAAAGCACTAATTATGGATTCCAATCCTATATTAAGCGGCAAATTTGAACGAGTACGTAGCAGTCTTTTATCAAAGCATTTTAAATAAAAATAATTATATTTAATTATATTTAATTAATAAATTTTGATGAAAAAGAAAAACTATATTCCTTAAGCTTCTCTTTCGGCAATTGTAATAATATTTTGTTGACTAAGGAAATTTTTATGTTTCGTTGTTCCAGTCAATGAAAGCAATAACGGCCTAGATAAGCAAGATGAATTCGAAGTGTAGGAGATATTATATTGCTAAAACACTGTTTTCACCATAATGATGTCTCATTTCTATTTATTTTATTTTCTTTCTAATACTAAAAATAGTTTCATTTGTCTCGACTTGTTTTTATTATGTCGTACATCGTACTTTTCTCAGCATGTTCAGCCATATTCCTGAATTGGAGCTTGAAGCATGACTATATTGAATAATATATGATGTTTAAATATCTGTAACCATGGCGAGTTTTTATATCATGCGACGATGTATAGCTACTTTCGCTTGTAATAATTTAGCCTCTAGTAATCCAAACGAAAACTCTCTTTGGAGAAAAAGTCTCTAAAATATCGGATGCGGTCGTTTATTTCAATAGACAACAGAGAACTATACTTAATAAATTTTTCTTCAAATATTTTTATTGTTTAAATCTACAGTAACAGAAGTCATTGCAATTATATGGCTATTAAAATGATTTATAAAAATTAGACATACAGATGTCCCTCAAATTGGTCATCACTTTAGATATAACCCCAAGCAGAATAACAAGTCATTATGGTGTCAAAATAATGTCAAAATGACTCTAAAATGATCATTAAAAGTCATTTTTCAATCATTTTCGATTCATTTTAATGTCATTTTGATATTATCGTAACTTGTTGTTCTGCTTGGGGTTCAATTCTTCTGTACGACGAATCAATTCAATGACTTCTTAATGCTGATAATAGTCTATAACTTAATAAATACCAGCTAACATTAATATTACATTAATGTTATAATTTTCTACTCAACAATATATAAACTGTCATGTAATATATATAATATTTATGTTATTAAGTGAGAAATCATAATATTGTATGTGTATGTGATATTATCATTAGTTGATGTTTATTGAAAGAAAATTAGATATTAATTGCACTTTATTTATAATAAATTTAAAATACAAATACAAAATACATATTTTTCGCTTCAAAATACATATTTTTAAAAAATTTCTTATGCGACAGAGAAATGTTACATTTGATATTTCATATATTTTCATTCTTTTACTATATTTTTAAATATTACTACATGTATTATATTTTCTATAGAGAAATATTTTTATAGAGAAATGTATTTTCTATTTTATCTTCAAGATTAAAAAATTTCTTTTCAAATATTGAAAGTAATTTTGACAAATAATATTATAATTTGTAATTGTGTCAAAATGAATATTCTTACTCACTACAGATTTGTAATATATCAGGTGCGATGGTGGTGTAATGGTTAGCATAGTTGCCTTCCAAGCAGTTGATCCGGGTTCGATTCCCGGCCATCGCACAAAACATTTATTTTTTGAAAAATTTTTTTATTGCAATTAAAACATTTTTTAATTAAAACATTCCGATAAATATGAATAGATCTGAATAAGTCAATAGCCTACATTGTATGATTCTATCGTAATTACAACATTTTAAATACATCGTTATATATTATATGTATTCACAGTTATCTTATCTATCAAACACTATAATAAAATGTTATAAATTTAAAAGTTGTGCATTATTTCAATATAACAGATGTATTGACAGTTATAATTATAAGTTCAATTAGATAAAATATGATCTGATACATTTATAAAAATATTTAGTATGACTGACGTATATCCTTTGAAGAATACCCGGCAATTCGGAGAGCACTGCTGGTGTAGTGGCATCATGCAAGATTCCCATTCTTGCGACCCGGGTTCGATTCCCGGGCAGTGCAAATTTACTTTTTTTTTATAATTTTTTGTGAATGAAATTAAGAAGAATCGATGTAGAAAATCATTTTTCTATTAATTAATCTCTATGTTTTTACAGTTTTTAATATCTCGTATATTGATTATACTATTGACAATACTGATAATGATGCATGACACATTAAGTTATTATCAATTTGAATGTGAACTTTTTTGAAGAAATTAATCTAGAAAAAGCTATCTTTTATCTCGATAATTATACAATGATAATAATCTATTCATATTAATTACCGATGATTTATTCATTCGGTAAAATTATTCTTTATAACATAATAAACTATAAAATTATATTTAAAAAAAAGATATCAAAAGATATCATCAAAATTATGTATTATAAATCTTTACAATCTCCAAATGAGATAAGCATTGTGTAAAATCATTGTGTAATCAAATACTATCCCAAAATTATTCAAAAATTATTGTATCATATTTTTCTGAAAAACAAATAAAGAAAAAGATATATTTGAACTTAAAAAAAATTTTTAGAAAGAATCTGTATTCATTCTCATTTTTTATCGATAAATGTTGTATATAACTTGCAT